TCGTCCATGAAAGAGTCTCAAACGTTTAGAAAAATCTCTTCATGGTTTAAACAGATGAAATACGAAGAACAATAATGAACAGCTGAGAGCTTCCTTATATGGAACTTTATGACTCAGATTCATTATGATTTCCTCTACACGCGTCTTAGGTTTAGAAATAGTAGATGTCGTATAGGATCAGATTTCGATGTTTTTTGGGCTCGTGCAGTCAGCCGACTTCTCTACCCAGCCTTTGGTCGGGTGGAATTCTAGTCTTCTTCTTCTTCTTCTCAACACATGAGTCACGACTCAAGTCAGCCAGTCGTTGTCAGCTCCTGATTATCATTTTTAGTCGAAAAAAAGCTTGACGGAATCCTGAGAATGTGACGAGTGCACATCTGAAATCCGTTTTTCGAAATTCGGCAGCGTTCAGGAGATATAAATAATGCCAAAAATGATAATTAACAGCTGTTATTTTCCTTATATGGTTATGCATGACTCAGTCTTAAAAGACCATTCATATCTTAGATCTTATGTGCATATATACTTTAATTATCGTTTTGCATAGCTAAAATTCATCCACGAAAAAGTCTCAAGCATTTAAAAAAATCTCTTCATGGTTTATACAGATGTGATATGAAGAACGATAATGAACAGCTGAGAGTTTCCTTATATGGAAAGCTACGATTCAGATTCATTATGATTTCCTCTACACAACTCTTGGGTATAGAAATAGTAGATGTCGTATAGGACCAGATTTTGATATTTTTTGGGCTCTGCGGTCAGCCGACTTTTCTAGCCGGCCTTGGGCTGGGTAGAAGTCTAGTTTCTACTTGCTTTGATCCAATAGTAAAAAATATTGCTTGAACAATAACAACATGGACATTACTATCGAATCTTGGATTTTATGTTAATGCACATTCAGTTTATGTTAAAATTTTTAATTTATTTACTTAATAAAAACAATGAAAGACATAATCAAAGTTTTCTGTTATTTAAATAAAACTAAAAATATGAAATTTTTACTCTAATGGAAAAACGATCATCTAAACATTATAAAAAAACCTTGATACTTATCAAGTATTGGTAACGTAAGTTCATTTAGAATGAAAAATTCGTTTAGTATATATATTTTTTTTTTCAATTAATAGTTTTAAAATGATTAAATTTAAAAGGAATGCATTACACACCATTATTTCCTTATTTTGCGAATGTAAATTTGTTGTCAAAAATTATTTGATTTTAATTTTTAGCTGAATAGATGTCAACCGCTTTTCATGTTTTATCTGATGAATATATAATAGAAGATAGTGGTACAGGTGTTGTCTATCAAGCTTCTTATTTTGGAGAAAATGATTATCGTGTTTGTCTTGTTAACAATATTAATTAATAAAAATGTAGAATCTGTTGTTTGTCCAATTGATGCTCAATGTTGATTTACTGATGAAATAAAAGATTTTCAAGGATAGAATGTTGAAAATGCTGATAAAACATTTATTAAATATTTGAAAGAAACTAACAGACTTGTTTAATCCTTTGAGTCCCAGCAACGCATATATGCGTTCGAATGCAGTTACTTGACAAAGATACTCCTGGTATATTTTTTTTTTTTTGATTATTTCGAACATCTTTTTATCGTTTATTAGGTGTGGGGTAGGTGGAGGCTAATGAATAAAAAGAATTATATTCGCACCATCAATATGAAGCTACCATGATAGATTTAGGTGATCTCGTAATTCTCGATGTTGGAACCAAGAGGCATAGAACCTACACGAGAGTGTTCGGTATGTCCTTCTAAGCATTCTCATTCAGATTCTATGTCTCTAGGTTTCAACGTTGAAAATTCATTGATTATCTACATTCATTGTGGTAGCTTCAAATGAACATTCGCAGCTACACATTACATCTCACTCTACACGATATATTTCTCTTGACTGCGATACACTTCTATGTGTTGTTAATTGATTCAAAAATTGCCATACAAAGATGAACTACTAATGATTTTTCGAGACAAATATGTAACATCTTCGTGAAGAAAAAAGATCATATTTAAAAGTTTCAATTTTCGTAAAAAAAGTCGTGACTGAAATGGTTAATCAATCACTGAAGAATCATTCATATTAATTTTGTCGTAGAAATGATACACCATTAGTTTATCGTGCTGTTCCATTTTATTTTTGTTCAAGTTGAAGAGATGATTGACCGATAATTAATTAATAATAGTGAAACATATTGGTAATGAGAAAAGCTATGCTCAGAAAAAGTTTTTCAAGATGTTTGTATTTACAGAGTGTCTGATTTTATTAAAGAAAACCGTTTTGAAAATTGACTTGGTGATGTACATGATTGAACTATTTCACAAAATCATTATTTGGGTTATCCAATACGATTATGCATGAATGATGATGAAAATGATATTGTTTATATTGGTTCAATTGAAGAATCAAAACAATAGTTCTAGTATTTTTCTTGACGATATTCATTGAAAATTGTTAGATTTAATAAATCTTCGTTTTTTTTCTAAATACGAATTCTTAATTTTTGTTTAATGTTGATTATATCATAAATCCATTACAATTAAGTAGAAATATATTACATCAAGTTTCTAAAGTACTTGATTATTGATTTGAATCTTGTTCTATGCCATATGCACAAGTATATTATCCATTTGAAGGATATCAAACATTTGAAGACATATTTCCAGCTGATTTCATAGCTGAAGGTATTTGATCAAACACCTGAATGATTTTGTACATTATTAGTTATTTCAACAGTTTTACTTGATCAACCATCATTTAGAAATTTAACTGTTCATGGAATTGTTTTAACAAGTAATGGAGAAAAAAGTGTTAAAAAGAAAGAAAATATTATCCTGATCCAAGAGAAATCTTTGAAAATGATGGAACTAATGCATTACGATAGAAAAATTACAATTATAGAAAAAATAAATAATGTGTTTTCTTTTTATTTATAGAATTTATTTAATCATGTAATCTTTTATTCGAGATAAATCATTTAAATTTAAAGAAGAAGGTGTTTGTGATATTCTTTAAAGATGTATTTTTACTTTAATACAATGCATAACATCTTCTTATTCAATCATGTGATCAATTAAGAATTGATATAAAGGTTCATTTTGTTTATGATGATAAATGTTTAGATTTTGTTAAACAAGAAACAGATGGTACGATTTATTTTTGTTTTTATAACAAATCCTTTCAAAATAATTCTCTAATTTAATATGTTAATGTAGAAAACTTTATTTATAATTTAAATTGAATAAAACTAACAATTGATTATGTGTTATAAGAAGTTAATAACAGACAGTCAGTGATGTCACACTAATAAGTTATATATAAAAACAAAAAACAAATAAATAAATATTTTCAAGATTTTTCTATTTTTTATTTCTATTTTTCTATATATATGGCACTGTTGATACTCGATGAAAATTAAATCGTTCTCCATAAATAAACAAATTTTTCTTGAGATGAAAAGCTGATTTTATAGTAAAGATAAATTTTTGTTTAAATTTTAGCTTATCATTTATATCGCATGGTATCTCATCTTGTTAAATACATTGATATATTAACCAATTGATATGTGAAATTAAACAAAAAAAAAACGTTTTTAAGTGAAACTATTTCTTTTTTTGTCTTCATAGCCATGCAATTAATTTCAAATTTTAATGAAAAATAAAATATTACTATTTGTAAAGACTACATAAGTCTTCATCTTCTTTGTCCCAAAAGAAACAAAAATAAATAAAGATGAAACAAAATATTTTCTTGTAGGATGAAACAACATTAGAAGATTGTTTTATTTCGTTGAATGTTCTTTATTATACTCTTTTAACAATAGCTAAATTAATAGAACAATTTACAACATTTCTTGCTGAATATATGTATCAAGTATTTAGAAAATAAATATCTCAATCATCATCTTCTTCTGAACAAGATTTAAGTTTTTATTTTTGAAATGATTCCAATATCATAGTTAGTTCTTTTTTGTTTTCTTTAATTTTCAAAAAAATAAAAACAAAATTTTTATTTAGAAAATTATTAATAAATAAAAATGTTCAACATATTATAGCTGCTATACAAACAACAATTGGTTTGAATAGAATTGTACGAGAACGAAAAGTTGCTCCCATAAAAGTAAATCTCTGTTAGTTATTTATTCTAATTGTTCAAAAGAGATTTGATTTTGATATTCATTACCAGAATTTGTTATTATTCATAAAGATTCATCAATTTTAAAAGATATGCAATCATTAAAAAATTGTTTTCAAGAAATATGTTCTTATCTATTAGAATATTCGTGTTCATTTTTGTTTCTTAAGGTTTCAATGTACAAAAAGTAAAATTATCACAAGAACGTGAACTTTATCATATATGAAATGTATGCGAAACCAAATTATCCAACATTAGGAAAAAAAGCTGATGATATATATTTGTTGATCAATGTTTATTTGATTGTGAATGTAAAATGCTTAGCTAAAGTCAAATCGATAACTGAAAAACTTCATGCTATGTCTGATACAGATATTGAAATATTATTATCAAAAGTTAAAGATGAAAGTTCAATTAACAACTATTTGATAGTGCATCAATTAAATTAGAAGATTTTTATATTGTTTATCGTGTCACACAACAAATACGATTTGAAGCTATTGCTGAGTAAGGAGTATGACACCATTTTTTCTGTTAGAAATTTTTCTAAACTTTTTTCATTTAAAAAATAGTTTGTTATTTTACTTGATTGTATAGCTGATGCGCATCGATGAAGGATGAAGATCTTATTCGTGAAATTACAAGTCGAGTTGAAAAACGTCGAAGCGAGGTTTGTGCAATATGTATATAAATAATAATAATTTTTTTTTTTTTTTATTAGCATAAATTAAATTCAACTGATGATATTATAGTTTATTATTATGCAGTAGAACCTAAAACAAGTGAAATTGCTTATATTATAACGAAACAACAAAATGAAATTGAAACAATTCTCAAAAAACAATTTGCTTCGTTAAACAATTTAACAAATAAAGATAATAGTAATGTTGTTATTACTAAGAAACTCTTCCTTTAAATTTTGCTTTTTTTCTTAATTGAAATCAAATACTTTTTTTTTTTGTTTTTATCAGATGATAAATGAACAAATAGAATTTGTTATTACTCGAAATTCATAATCAAAGTTGAATAAAAAGATGATTTTATTTGAATTTTTATAAACTATTTAAACATTTATTATATTGTTTTGTCTCGTGATTTATTTTGTGAACATTCAGAACCTCATTAAAGTTCTCAATAAAACAAAAAAAAAATCATTCTTGTTATATTTCTTATACGAATTGCAGAACTCTTATCATCATAGCTTTGTAAATTTTTGTTTCTATCAATGAAATTAATACTAATTACATAGATAATCCCAACATATTTTCAGACTAGAACATCATACTCATAAACTATCAAATTGTAAAGCATAAAATTATTTTTCAAATCGAACAAGATTTTTAATAAATCATATTGTTATAATACTTCATCAATTAACTGCCTTTGTATTTTAGTAAAACACATGATTGATGTAAAATTCTAATTTATGAAGAACAAATATTATTATTCAAATAGATACCATCACAATTTATTACATGACTAGCGGAGGTACCCGATGGTAGTCATGATAATTTTCTAATATATACTTGACATATTAGAAAAAGACGTCACTATGATCTCCTATAAATTATTGGAATTCGATATCGCAAAATATGTTCAGATCACTTTCCCTTTTCAACTGATGTTTTCCCCATTTTTAATTTAAAAAAATTTTTTTATCCTTTTCAGTATTCTTTTTGTTTGATCGACTTCTTTTATTACAAAAGACCGTTTACCGAAATACAACTTCTATTGCAACGCTTTTTGATACAGAACCTTCTCGATTTTCGCAACAGGGGGCTAAAATAAACAAATTCTTTCCAGTTCCAACTCCTCAGCATGCTAAGTTAAGTTGGCCATGGGAAAGGCAAGGGCTCTCTAGATTAGTGCCGACCACTTACTCTCGAGCCTTGTCGATAGACACTGCGAAGGCAAGACATACAGCAAATCGAAGAAGCTTGAATTCAAACGGTATATCTGTAAGAACCATGAATATTCATGGTATGAATACATGCTCACTCTTTGGACAGCCTGTCAACATGATTTTTCTTATCGTACATTAGAGATAGAAATTAGAGAATTTCCAATTTTCACAACCTGGGTGGCATTACATTCGATTACCTTCCTTTCCTTGTCTGTCGCGCCAATCTACTCCCAATTTTTCTCTCCACTAAAGAGTATATCATGGAAATTTTGATGGCGCTAGTTATTACCGAAATCAAATGTACAAACAGCAGACAGAAAAACATTGTTATTTATATAAACAGAAGAAGACACTCGCTTACATACCCTATACCCACATTCAGTGCTTAGATCCCTGAATCGAACTCATTGCCTCTAAAGTCTCTACCTGACTTTTCTCCTAACGACCAAAGATTGATTAGCTAGGTGTCTTAGTAGGCGAATTCCTGTTGGTTTTCAAACAACTCATTAGATTTCAAGGCAAATAGACCTCACATTCGAACTCACCATTTCGAAAAACCCCCTGCTCCATCAATTCCTTCAAAGTATAAATGTTCTGGTCTATTTTCTTAAGTGCTGAAGTCCTATTAGTTTCCAAACAACCACTCAGGTTTCGAGACAAATGGACCTCAGATTTGAGCTCACAATCTCTACATCCCCGTGCCCCATCATTTTCTTGTAGGTATAAGAGTTTTGGCCCGTTTTCTCAAGAGCTGAATTCCTATAGGTTTCCAAGCAACCAATCAGATTTCGAGGCGAATGGGTCTCAGATTCGAACTCATCGCCTCAAAAAACTCTGTGTCCCACCACCATCATTTCCTTCAAAGTATATGTGCTTGGCTCTATTTTTTTAAGAGCTGAATTCCTATTGGTTTCCAAACAACCAATTAGATTTGAAGGGAAATGTATGCCAGATTCGAACTCAGCGCCCTCGAAAACCTCTAGTTCCATGTTTTCTGTGTGTTCATGAAGTGGAGCTCAGTTTAGTGGCGTATCTAGAACAGTGGCGACTCGCTGGCGGTGGGTGGGCAGTGGAAGGTGGCGCCACTCTTTTTTTACTTTTAACTTTTCAATTGTGTGTTATTAATACCTGAAATTTTTATTATAATCTGGCCCTAACATGAACTACATCCACTAAAAATTTCAGGTTTTAATAACGCATAATTAAACATTTAAAAGCAAAAAAA